ATCTTTCTGATTGGTCACGCCATTCAGGGGAGGGAAGGACATTAGCATAGATTCTAGTCCTTAAAGTAGATTTTTTTTTTTTTTTTTGCTAATTTTTGGTAATTTTTCTTCAGCAGATTGCACACAAAACATGGCCATTTTTTCGAGGTAGCTGATTATCTCTTTCACTACAGGCTTACTGAGTGTGGAAGAATTAAAAAACAGAAACATTAGTAAGGAGTGGGAACAAAGAAAGAGTAATCAGGAGGACAAGAGCTAGTGATTGACCTTCCAAGTTGACTGGAAAGCATTGAGCTGGAAGAGAGTTAATCATTTCACCTCAAACAAGGCAATAAAGCCACTAAGACACAAGAGGTTACTGAATGTGGAAGAATTAGTAAACAGAAACATTACTAAGGAGTGGAAAAAAAAGACGGGTTTACTGAGTATAACAAGAAAAAGATTAAATAGAGAGAACAATAAAAGAACAGCAATTAAGAAAACAAAAGATAATGATTAGCATTGCATTGAACTTTTTGAAGATCAAAGTTGACTGGAAAGTAAGAAGCCAGAAGAGATTTCCACAAGTGAGAAGTGTGAGAAAAGAAACTCTTGGCATTGGTAGTGTTTGTGGAATTATTGACAAGTTTGGTTAAAGATTTTTTTTAAAATTTTTTCTTCTGTATTTCATATCATTTTCCTGATATATATATATATATATATATATATATATATATATATATATATATATATATATATATGGTGCGATGGGTAAATTGTCGCCATTTTATATTTTTAACTTCATGCATTGACGTTTGTATTTGATTTTGCTAACTGAACAGTATAGTATGGTCAGTTGGGTGCCATCTGTAAGAGAAAGAGCACCATGAAACAATTCACTGTAAAAGAAATTTGGAAATGGCATGCTGTACTGTTTGGCATTCATGCTGGAAGCTCCAATACAAACATTTCAGAGTGTTTGGTTGTGTATAATGGTGATTACAAAGATATGGCAGCTCAGAAAACTTGCTCTGGTTGATCTGATAAGAAAAGAACTCCTGAATTTGTCAGAAGCCTCTCAAGTGTCTTGAGGAGGTAGTGTGCTGCTCTGGGTTAAGAAGGTGGCTGCTGGAAGATCATCTGTTTGGCAACAGGACTCTGCATCATGCCATACAAGCTGGAGAACTCCAGTCATGGCTGTCAGAAAATTTTTGCAATCACATCACCCATTACATCTGGCCACCTCACTCCTCAGCTGTAACCTCCTAGATTATTATGTGTGGGGCACAGTTGAATCCAAAAAAACTCCTTGTAACACTGAAGATAAACAGAAGGCAAGGATTATGACAGCATTTACCAACTTAAACAAAGAGGCCATCCAGAAGAGTTGCAGAAGATTCTGAAGTTGTCTAGATTATGTGGTTGAAGCCAATGGTGATTTTATTGAATAAATTTATTCTTTAGCATGTCAAGATATTTTTGTGCAATTTTGCTAAATATATCTGTTAAAATGAGATGTCAGGGTTGTTTTCATTTTTGCGTAATTTAGATGACAATTTATCCATCGCAACCTGTACGTACACACACACACACACATACATACATAAAAAGATAAGTATATCTTGAAAATATATGTATGTATGTATGTATGTATGTATATATATATATATATTTCTGTGTGGGTTCTGTTCGACATTCCAACCACCTGAAGAAGGCTGGAGCGTACAACGGTCGTAACATAATAAATAAGGCGACAAAGATGAGGACAGTAGTCCAAATAATGTAAATAGTGTGTAAGTATATATATATATATATATATATATATATATATATGTCAACAGCAGGCAGTGTAAGTTTCTTAAAGATATAAAACTATGTCCACAGTAATGTAAGTGTTAATATTCAATATTGAGATTATTTCTAAACAGATCTCATTAGATTAAAAATGCTTACTTAATCTGGGTATATTTATTGAATAAATTTTCTGCGACCACATCACCCCTTACATCTGACCAGAAAACTCATTTCCACAAATATCAAGAACTTCCTGCTGCACAAAATTTTGCCATCTTCCTTTCCAGAATTGTACCATCATTTAAACTACTACAAATCCAAAAGAAAAATTCCATACTAATTAAATTATATAAAAGATTTATTCATTCATTCAATACACATTTTTATTTTTGTGAATCATAACTCTATGAGTGTTTCCATGCAAAACGGTTTTGATGTTTTGCCATTTGAAGAATTAGAGGAGGCCAAAAGGCTGGAAATAAAAGGAAAGAAAAATCTAAGTGAGAAATTATATCCAAATCTGTTCTTAAATGTATTCTTGGTTGAGATTCTTATCATTGTCTGTCTCAGACAATGTCAATTTATCTTTTATATAAACCATGTTTTTCTCTGAGATTCAGGAAAAAAATCTTTAGTTCCTTCACACCGTTGAACTTTAAAGAAAGCCTGGATCAGAAATTCAGATTAAAACTGGAACCATGTCAGAAATCATTTTAATGAAAAACAACTCACTGTACCAGTATAAAAACTCTATCGGCCATATTTCAGACCTCAAATGATAAATGATTTAAGAAATTGCTTTTTTTATAACTCTCGACACCAAAGTAAGATTTATTTTCATTTGTTCCAATAGATACATCCGTAGCTGCACAACAAATCCTAAAAGCTTAAACAATTCATTTTTCTTCTTTTATTTGCTGTGTCCCTTCAGGACATAAGTAATCATGGCTCTCCACTTCTTCCTGTACCTTGTAGCTCTCAATAAGTTTTGTCTTTTTGTTATTTCTCCCAGATCCTGTTCTGCCATCCACTTGCCTGTTAAGTATGTCACACATTGCTTTCCCTTGTCCCTCTTTCCTTCTATCTGCCCTGTGAGTATTATATTTTCCAAGCCATCCTTTCCCATTACGTGTCCCAGAAATTCCATCTACCTCTTCCTGATCTTAAGTATAAGGTTTCCTCTTTATTTGCATTCTCTCAAAAACCTCATTGTTACTTACATGTTCACTCTATGGTATCCTTAGCATCCTTCTGCAGAACCATACCTCTATTGCCTTGAATCTCTTCTTTATCTTTGAGAAGACTGTCCAACATTCACTGCCATAAAGGAGGACAGATGTCATGTAGCAGTTCAGTACCAATAGCAGTTCTTTGTTACCAATGAAACCCTCCTGACTCATAATACTCCGCTTAGCTTTTGTAATGTGTCTTTGGCCATCTCAATACATCTTCGGATCTCAGTGTCACACTTACCATCCTCTGTTAGAACACTTCCCAGATATTTAAATTTCTGTACCTTTTTGATTTTAGCGTCCCTTACCTGTAATTCATATTTTAGGCGCATCTTTTTGCTGATTCTGGTAGTTTATGCTTAGTTCCTTCTTTTCACTCTACTTTGCTGACTTCTGTAAAAGGTTTTGTAGTTTCCTTTCCATGTCTGTTATCAGCACTGTGTCATCTGTGTATCTTATGTTGTTAAGGTTGTGGCTGCCAATGATGAATTCTGATAGGAATTCTAGTTCTCTCAGAATTGTCTAGCTGTACAAGTTGAATATGGGTATATATACATCTATATCGTGTGTAGTCTGGCTTACTTAAGGTTTTTGGTAACTCGTGTGACTCTAATGTAATTCTTCAATGCCAAGGAAAAAATACATATTGAATCATGAAATGGCCATTTTCAAAGTTTTAAAAGAGAGTTGATCATCCTGGTACCTCATTGAACTCCCCTCCCCCCCAAGTGACTTCATCTTTGTTTAGAACCTCCCATCTCACTATCCCATCCAACCTATCACATTTGGTTTTTGAAATCGAGACGTATTTATAGAGTCTGCCAAACTTTCACTAAATATGAAATTCCAATTGTAAGTAATAAAAACAATTCATTGCAAAACTTAAAATCCAAAGAAGAATCTGAAATGTAATTGATCTTAACTTGGCATATTGACTTCAGTCATTTTCTCACTGACTCGACGTGGCTTCTCTCTGTCTTTTCTACAAATATTTTCATGGCAACTGCTCTGACAAGCTTGTTTTGTCCTGGTGCCTACAACAATTTAATTGTACTACTAGATTCACATTTAGGTTTCACTTTTTTACTTTTTTTAAATTGCTAAATGAAACCACCACTTCTACTCCAACAGTTTCCTTTCTCACACTTTCTACCTGTGGATCTCTTTTTTGTTTACTTAGTTCCCTACAATCCTCAAAAATTTCAATGCAATGTAAATCGCCATCTTCTATTTTTATGAGTCCCGTTTATCTTTTATCTTTTCTTCAATCCTCCCTATACTCTTTTCTCTCATTTTCACACCCTGTAACCCCTCTCCCCTGCATACTAGTGCAATTCACACCTTGCTTGGGGTGAGATGATTAAAAAAAAAAAGGTTATTATTACAAAAATTTACTGTAAATACTTCTACTCCTTGCTAGTTTAATGAGCACCAACATATATTGCTACACTTTGATCATGTACTGCCAAATAAGTTGTAAATATTTCTAATAAAAACAGATCAACTCAAATTCACACAATATATTTATTTTATATTAGTAGTGTATCTTGAATATTTTCTCAAGATTGGGCAGATAATGCCAATTGTGCAAATATTGACTTTCATAGTATAGTAATTCTCGGTGGATCTGTTTACTGCTTAATAACAATAGAAAACCAATCCCTCATTTTATGCCCAGTAGAAATCTATGCCTTGAAAATGTGGTCTGGTGCTTCTGCTAGCTGTGGCAGCAATATTCAATGTATGAACAAATGGTTGACTTATAAATAAAAGATTACAAGAACATAAATTGGATCTTTCAAAAAAAAAAACAATGCACTTAGTGTATTCGTCATAATAAATAATCAGCATTAAAGGTTTGATTATAATTTTTAACTAAATAATATAAGGAAAGTAATTTATAAGGGCAAAATTATATTGAAAGTGTCCTAATTACTGAGTCTTCTGAGTGGTAAATTTGCATCCAGATTCATAGAACATGTCACCTTTACTAAG